CCTGCTGCTGAGAACAGCTGTTTCTTTCCTCTTTCTCCACTGACCAGGTGGACAACGAAGTGCAGAGCCAGCTGCTGTTACCTCTGACTTGCTTTGATGCATTTCCAGCACGAGCATTGCACCTATTGCACTGGGTGCTGTACAAATACAGAAGAGGAGTTGCTGCCTCTTGTTGCCCCTAGTAATTCTGTGAAATGGAGCAAGTCAAAGCTATTTGAGTTTGAACCCTGCAGTGTCACAGTACGTTAGTATCTGAGGATCTTGAAGAGCTGGATCTTTCCCAGTCCCTGCGTGGAATTTATATATTATCAGCACCTTTTTCAGAGACAGTGAAGTTGAGACATGGGGGTAAGTGACACCCAGTGGCACACTAGCATATTGCAGGAGTAGCTATGAGCTGCCATTTCCAAATGACCATGCACCTTTACTGGGTTTTTTTATCTATATATGAAGCCTTACTCTGGTTTGGGATCCTGAAAAAGGCTCAAATTCTCATGTTTCTTAAAAAGTACAGAAATTTTTATACTGACTTCCTTGGCTTTGTGGTGCTTGCTGTAGTAGGTAAGGCTAGTCTCTTCTGAGCAGATTACAACCAGAAACACCATTTTTCTGTAAGGACACTGTCTCCCTCAAAATTGTTCTGCTTGGAATGTCTGACCTCAAACGTTACCATCAATGCCCACAAGTCCTTTGAGAGAGCAGAGGAAAACATGCTTCCTCTCTCCGATCAGTGCATTTATCCCACGCGTGGACCAGCATGTGGCCATTCTTGTTACTACTGTGCTCTTTTCTGTTGTAGAGCGTGTGGCTCCTGTGAAGTAGTAAGGAAAACTAGACATTTTAGAATGACCCCATGTGCCTGCAAGGCTATTGCTACTGCCAGAAGCACGCGTCCAGGTGGTCTGCAGTCTGCTCTGCCCGAACGATTGAGTTAGGCTCAGGCTGTGTGTTAAAGGCAGCCCCAAGGCTATCCTCAGCCTCTAGTACTCTGTTATGTGAAGCCACAGGCTGTCTGCAAAGCCACAACGAGGACAGAAGACCTTAAGCACCTCTTTAACTTAGTGCAGCATTTGAACAGTATGGCCCTGCCAAAATATTCCTGC